TATATGTATATAATAATATATACATATTTATATATAGACATACACACACACACACACACACATATATATATATATATATATATATATATATATATATATATATATATATATATATATATATATAGAGAGAGAGAGAGAGAGAGAGAGAGAGAGAGAGACAGAGATAGATAGGCGTATAATATATTGTATACACATAAAATATTTATACATATACGTACATAATGCAACCTAACAGACATATTAAACTTTAACAGCCATGAACTTATCAGATAAGTAAGTCACATGCATTTGCTGATTTTGAGTTAATTGTTTTATGACTTAATTGTTTGCAAGGCAAAGAAGTTAAATCTTGCTGTATTTTGAAATAGATTTGTTGCAAGATCTTTAAACTATGCCCTCATACCCATGATATTTTCCAAAAGCACTTTTTCATTTAGATAATGCTAAATGATTGTGTCAATACCCTTGCAGAAATTGTATAATGTCAATGATGCATCACTTTTAATGCTCTTAATTTAAATATCTCAAGTATTTCCTTATATTTCTGGTTATTCAGACTTTTAATCCTTGTTGTTCTCCTCTGTACTTGCTTGATCAGTTTTATCCATACTCTATTTTTTATGTAGCTTAGATTCCAGATTGAAGCCTACTCAGAGTAAAGACTAACTAGAGATGTACTAAGTAATTTCATTGAATTTCCATTAAGATTGCATTAAGATGTACTAAGTAATTTCATTGAATTTCCATTAATACTGTGATTTGTTTGAACAAGCATTTCAATTGCTATGCTAACTGTCATTTTAATGCGCAGTTAAATTGACAGTATCATGCATATATCTGTAACTTTTCCTTCAAACATGCATAATTTTATATTTATTAAGATGTAGTTCTATGACCATCATATAAGATGATTTGGATCATTTTGTAATATTTCATTATCAATAGGGCTATTAACTTTTAAAATTAATTCATATCATCTGCATGAAATTTAAAAAGGTTAAAAAGTCTAATAATAGCCTTTAATAAATTTTGGCACAGAATAAAATCTAAATATTCAAACAAATTGGTTACACATTCTACACTTGGAAAAAAACTGTGTTACTCTTTGGAAATAAAATTGTTTTCAAAAGGATGCCTCATTAAAGTTTCTTGTAGAATAATCTTCACAACTTTACATGGGATAGATATTTTTAAAAGAAGTCTATAACTGCTGTTTTTGAAATTGTATATGATAATTGTTTTACCTATCAAAATACTATTATATATTAATTCATTAAAACATGAGCTTAATTCGAAGTTGTAAAAACAAAATAAAATAAAAACAGGAAATCTTTAAATAATAAAATTTATATTAACAATAATGTTGTTGTAAAGAGTGTATTTTGAAATACAAAACTATAAATAAACTTTTTACAACAAAAAACTTGTTTTTAAGTAAAGAAAAAAATTAGTAAAAAAAGTTACTAGTAAATTACTATACACAGATAAACACACACACACACACACACACACACACACAGAGATATATATATATATATATATATATATATATATATATATATATATATATATATATATATATATATATATATATATATATATATATATACATATATATATATATATATATATATATATATATATATATATATATATATATATATATATATGTATATATGTATATATGTATATATATATATATATATATATATATCCATATGTATTATATATATACATACACATTTTTTATATATGTACATATTTATATACATTTAAATAGTTATATATATATATATATATATATATATATATATATATATATATATATATATATATATATATATATATATATATATATATATATATATATATATATATACATAACAAACATATATGTATGTTTGTATTTATGCATATATGCATGTATGTATGTATGTATGTATGTATGTATGTATGTATGTATGTATGTATGCATGTATGTATGTATGTATGTATGTATGTATATATGTATGTATGTATGTATGTATGTATGTATGTATGTATGTATGTATGTATGTATGTATGTATGTATGTATGTATGTATGTATGTATGTATGTACGCATGAATGTATGTATGTATGTATGTATGTATGTATGTATGTATGTATGTATGTATGTATGTATGTATGTATGTATGTATGTATGTATGTATGTATGTATGTATGTATGTATGTATGTATGTATGTATGTATGTATGTATGTATTTATGTATGTATGAATGTATGTACATATCAATTTATGTTTGTTATTGCTATCAAAATACTAATAATATTTTAATAAAAACTCATTAGTTGATACTGTTGATACTGACAGTATATTAATAAATACAATTCAAAACTAATAATCAAAATAAATTTTTTATATTTATTATACTATAAAGTACTATAATTTAAAGTACTTTGAAAATATAAATTTTTTAATGTGATTATTAGTTTTCATTAGTATTTACTGTTATATAATTTAATTATATTATTTATTATAACGCGAATAATATAATTGAAAAAAATGAATTTCACCTAAATACAACATAAGCGTAGAAACTCAGAGTTATTTAAAAAGTAGTTTCTGTTATTTTTATTAAACAAATTGTTAAAATGGTATTTACTTTGACATCTTTTTTTAAAATGTAAACTTTTATCTATAGCATACAGTTATTGGCAGAAGTATAGTTATTGGCATATTAAAGTTTTGTCATTAAATAGTATTGTGTTAGATTTGAAAACAAATTTTTTTTTTTTTTTAATTTTACATAATATTTGGTTATACACTATTTATATATTTACCGAATGTTGTCATCTTTCTATGACTTATAAAATTGCAACACAATAGGTGTTTATAACTGTATTGTTTCTAAGATATTGAATAATTATTCGCGTTACCCGACGATTGAAAAGGTTTAATAATTTACTCAACTGGTATTAAATAAGTTACTTATTAGCTAATTTATACAATACGCGCAGAAACCGCAAAATAAGCACAAATTTTAATATTTTCGGATTATTATTCTTTCCTACTGCTGAAAACTATTTTAAATATCGTGAAGTAAGAATAATATAGTTTATGTCCTTTTTGTAATGTTAAGAGTATTTATCAAAATTTGTTATATTCTCTTAAATTTTTAAAATTAAAAGTAAAGAGCATGGCGTAATAAGGCATCCTCTATGGCCCCCTATTGCCAAGCGAGATCCTAAAACTTCTAAATAGTTTCTTAATAACTAAGAGATGCTAGTTATTAACAAAAAAAAGTTATATTGATATCTCCGTTGGTAAAATTCAGAAAAGACAGTCTAAAAGTCTCTTTATTACTATAACTTACCCAGTGGGCACCGGACCAAAAAAAGACGTCTTTTGAACGTTCAATAGACGTCCAAAACGTTCAAAAGACGTTCAAAAGACGTCCAAAACGTGTATAAGACGTTTAAAAAACGTCTTATTTACGTCCGTGTCCACTGGGTATGCGTTTTCGTCAATATATGCTTACTTTAAAGAGTAAAAGCACCAATGTTAAAAATTATGCTGATTTTTATTTTTATTATTCGAAAAATATTTTAAAAATTATGAAAAACTATATTTTCTTTCATACTTCGGAACTAGTTCAATTCAAAGTAACTTTTTCCATTTTTAATTACTCAAAAAGTAGAAGCTTTTGTTAACCAAGTGGCGAGGTATAGTTAAGCTATGTTAAGATCGTCAATTAAGTACAACATTGAGTATAGCTGGAAAATTGATCGAAAGTGATTATTTTTACGAAATGTACAACACAAAAAACGATAGGCTGTTCTATTCTCTAGAAAAGCTCGTCAGGGAGGTCATCAACTGTTAAAATTGATTGCTGGGCTCAAGGCCGGCGCGATAGGGGTGTGTGGGGGGTGCTACACCCCCTTCCTATCAATGACTTTTAGTCGGCAAATTTGACCCTTAGTCGGCAAATGTAGACCCTGTCGATAGGATAGTCGGTAAAGTCAGTCGGCAACGCAACTTTTTTACTTATAACTTAGATTTCAATTCAGTAGAAAGACATTATTTTGAGGAACACAACACTATCATTAACTCAATTTTTTCAGAAAGTGGAGGTAGAACAAGATAATTCTAACGTCGCGAAATGTTGACCCTTTCAACAAGTTAGTCGGTAAACTCATAGAGTCAGTCGGCAAATGTCGATAAGGCAGTCGGTAAGTTTTAAAAAACAAGGACCTTTTTTTAGTCAGCAAAACTTGTCTTGGCAATCCCACCCTCCCCCACGTGAAACTTACTCGCGCCGGCCCTGGATGCGACTACAGCAACCAACAGTAAGCATTTCTGTTTTACAGGAATGCGTACTGTCGGTTACTGTAATACCAAAAATCGATGCCGAATCGATTATTGATGTCGGGTAAATACTTACTGTATAATGTATTTAGTTATTTTAAATGTGCCTAGAGCAGTCGTCTACGCTTATTATTTTAGAACGTTAAGTTGAATCAGTTGTTTCATTAAGTCTTAACTCGTATTTACCTTTGTTAAGATACTCCGATATATAACTCAAGCTTTGCCTTAGCTAATTCGAATTTAAATATATAGGTTTGTAATGTGCTTTGATCAAATACCGGAAAATCTCTAATATCTTTGATTTCTACTTTGTTGTCATTATTGCAGAGTAATCTTCCAAAATATTTATTAATCAACGCGGCAGCAATCATTTAACGGTAATCATGTAGAATATGAACGACGCTTATGTTGCGAACCTTATTTAAAGTTCAAAACGATTGCTTAAGAAAGCTATTAATAACTTCGATAACCCATCGAGTCTTTGTAGCGTGATTGATTCCCTTTCAAAGTTGTTAACTGTTTGTGATCTTTTCTGAGACAATTTTTTCTTAAGCTCTTCAATACAATCATGGAATCCGCGATCCAATATAATAATGTCGTTTGGTCAAATATAATGACATAAGCTTTGGTCCTTGATTAAATTTCAATTAATACAGTCGCGCCATTTTTTGTTGCTTCGAAAAGGCCATAAAAATCTAAGATATATCCGTTAGAATAACATATCACTAATGGCTTTACCAAGTGTTTCTTTTTTTGGACATGTTTTACGCTGAAAAACATTATTGCTACTCGATTGATCATCTTTAATTTCATTAGGAATAAGGCTATTGTTTTAAATGATTCATTTCTTCGGATATGGTTTACGCTTAGATTATTTGGAACAAAATCAATGGTAAGTGACTCTCTGACATATTGAAGTAACCGACTTATATCAAATTTAAAATCCAAATTTAAAAAACATTGATTTTGTCAAGTGATCCAACCCAGTTTTAAGCCAGAATAGATATACTGCCAAAGCTTGGGATTTAGAGCGTTCAATTGAATTTATCATTAAATCAAGTGGTTCGCTTATTTCAATAAAATGTTCTCTGGTAAAAAGCAAATTTCGACGAACAGAATTACGCATTGTTTCGAAATGATTTTTAACTTCGTTTTTTTTGAGTTTTATATAAGCTTTACCAATTAATAACAACTCCACTCTTTGTTTGATTTATAGATTTGACGATTGACAAAGATGAATGCAACACTTCGAACCAGGTGGAATCAATATTTTTTTCTATATAGATGTCAACAATCGCTTTATTAGAAATGTTTCTCAACTTTTTGTATAAGTTTTTCTTTCCACAAACAAAACAGCTTTTGTGAGATGAAAGAGTACGAAAAAAAATCTACAAATATTGATTCGTCATCAGGATTGCATTTTTTGTCAGTTGTTTCTTTTAAAACAACTTGTGAATTTGAAGCTCTAGAATTATCTTTGTTGTCTATTACACATTCAGCTGAAAACACTAATAAATCATTTACTGGAAATGATAATACGTTATCGGGATTCCTGGTATAAGTTGAATTATCATTTATAGATTCTTGATTTTTAGGGTTTTTTTATTTTCTTGTGAAGCGTTTTATAACTTCTTACAGATTTTATCATTTTTTCTTAATCAAATCCAATTCTTTATTTCGGATTTTATCATTTTTCTTAATCAAATCCAATTTTATTTTGGATTTGATTTAAACCATCAATATTTTCGTCAGAACTTCACTGGAACAAACATGAACTTCACTAAACTGTTTTAATTCTAAACAAACATGACAGCAAGCGCAATACAAATATCGAACATATTTTTTTTGCTATTTAACGTTTAGTAATCAAAAAACTAATTACACATTATTAAATATTTTTAACTATTAATATTAAGGGTTCTAAGTTACGCAATTTTTAACTATTAATATTAATGGTTCTAAGTTACGCAATTTTAACTATTAATATTAAGGGTTCTAAGTTACGCGATAAGATACAAACGCAGCTCGTCGCGTTGGTTTTAACTGAAATTTTTTATATCAAGAGAATTTAAAAAAAATCTTTTAATTTGTTTTAATTAACTAGCATTCTTGTTTAAAATTATTTATACTACTGTTTTTTTTAGTTTATGTATTATTTTTTTTTTGATGATTTTATTTTATTTTTGGTTGATGTTTAAATTAATATAAATAAATAAAAAATATTTATAAAAATATTTTTATTTAGACTTTGAAAGAAAAAGAAAAAAAATATTTATTTGCTATTCTCCTAAAATAATGAAAATCAGTTAGAACTTTGTCAAACTAACGCGACGAATTAGAGCAAAAGCAAATTTGCCTAAAATAGACTTATTAAAAAAAAAACGATTATTTGGACTATGCAATTGTTTTTTCTCTAATATCATCAACTTTTTACTGAATTTTATCTAAATTTTTTTCGTGTCATTCCGGTAAATTTCAAGGTGATATTTAATAATAAATTTGGGTCGTCCATAAATTACGTCACGCTTAATGGGAGAGGGGGGTAAAGGTAGGCGATTTTGTGACGATTTGTTACGGGGGGAGGAGGGTCTCGATTTTGGGACGCAACATTTTATTTTTTTAGAAAAGATTTCCCAGTTAACCATTCCAATTGGGTCCCAGCAGGGACCTAACTGTGGAAAACGCTGGGACCCATTGCGGTTCTGTCAGTGGGATCCAACTGGGTCCCATCTGGGATAAGCCGGGGTTTTTGACGGGAAATTCCATATTGATCGCAGATATTTTTTTCATTTACCGCAGGTTTTCTCAACTTTTTATAGTTTGTTTTTTCGCAGATTTTTTGTATCTCGAATCTGCGAAATAATGTGACAACTTTTTGATTAAAAAGCGTCACACTTTTTATATAAAATTAAAAAGTAAAGGTTATTTATATTATCTATATTGAATTCGCCGTCAGGGCAATAAAATGTATTAGGCAAATGAATATTTGGTCTGACATAATTTTACAAATTAATTGAAAAGGCATATTTGAATTTCATAATATTTCTAAGCAACAAAAAACTAACTAATATTATACAATGATTTGATGCAAAACTGTTCTACGATGGTAATATTCTGCCACAGTAGTTCTCTCATTTCGCCACCATAATCGCATGACAAAATTCTGCTTTAAAGTTGATCGTAATCGGTTTCTTTTGTGCTTTCATCCGCTTTTACGCTAATTTTATAAATTAAAAATAAACATTTGAATAATATAATAAAATATAGCATATATGTTTACAAAGTATAGATAAAAATATTTATTGATAAAATTATTTAGGGCATACCGTGCAGAGTGCCATACCATGCCATATCTTGCATATAACTAACAAACACTAGGCAAACAAAAACACACGTACAAATCACAAGCTAACTCAATACAGTATATAAACCGATATACGTGTTATAACAATAGCCAGATTGAATCTAAAACAATGTTATTTCACGGTTAATGTTTGATGTTATTAATTAGGCATGACATAAATAGACTTGTAAACAACAATAATATAACATGACTAATATGTTAGCATTTAAAATTTAAAGACTTCACTCAAGTTAACCTGACATCAAACTCAGTTGGTGAGGGTTTAACATCTTTTATATAATTTAATAAATGCAAAAATAATCAATATCACTAACATTTAGATTGTAACTTTATTTTTTTTAAAAAAAAACACCTTCACTTCCAACAAGGCTACAAGCAATCATTAGTTACTGTTGGAAGCTTCTGGAAGAGAGAAGATGAAGATTGTAGAGCAAGATACCGATTGATAGACGACGTAAAAGATCGCAAATTATATGAATCAGGAAAGCAAGATGAAGGAAGCGAATTCCAAAGAAGTGAAGTTTAAGAAAAAAAACTATACGAATAAGAGTTTTTTGAGCACTTAGGAACAGTAATAGAAAAAGAATGAAACTTAATTAAATGACGAGTAAAACGAGAAAGAATTTTAGTAGATGGCACAAGAGACGCTAGCTCTTTGGAGCAGTGCCAATTATAGTATTTGTAGAAAAGAGAGTGAGATGCAACACTACGACGATATGATAAAGGTTGAAGGTTGGCTGCAAGAACAGGTCCAACTATGTTTACAAAGCGTTTTTGCACCTTGTCTAAAAAAGAAAGAGCATCATTAGAAGATCTTACCCAGATATGGCAACAGTATTCCATACAAGGCCGGATTTGAGATTTATAGAGATAAAGAATAGAATCTAGAGTAAAAAAGTGTCAAGCTCGATAAAGAGATGCAACTTTAGCAGATGCTAATATTGCAACGGATTTGATATATGTTTTCCAAGAAAAATCAGAAGAGTTAATCCTAGAAGATGAAGGGTAGGAGACTCATCGAGTACCTTACCAATCATAGAAAAGTCTAAATTATTACGATAATGATTGGCTGAAAAAAAACTTTTATCTGAATTAAAGTTCACCAGCCACTGTGAGCCCCATGCTGTAGCAGAAGTGAGATCCTTTTCAAGCTCAAATACCCCCTTTAAGCAATCAGAGATTTTTGGCTTCTTATCAAGACAAGAATAAATAGTAGTATCATCAGCAAACAAAGCCACCTTAGATGTGAAAATATCTGGATGATTATTAATGTAAATTAAAAAGAGTCTAGGGCCAAGGATAGAACCTTGAGGAACACCTAAAGTTACATATGAAGAAGAGTGCTATCCATCAAAGACAACTTTTATACTACGATTGTTTAAAAAGGATTCAATAATCTTAAAGATGTTACCAGATACACCGTAAGAAGAAAGCTTATGGAGAAGACCAGCATGCCAAACTTTATCAAACGCTTTAGAAATGTCAAGAGCGATGACCTTAACCTCTCAACCTAATTAAACAATGATCATTTTAGGTTATATTATTACTTGAAAATATTTACTTGCTACAATTTAATACATTAAAAAAAATTTAAAACAATTGTAGTCTTGAACATAATAAATTTTGTATTAAAATTATTTTCACAATGAAAATTTACAATTATAAACAAGCGTAGAGTACTTACATTAATATATATAATAGTTATATTCATGATTAGTCAAACATAACATATTTCAATTATCATGGACCACAATTTATTGTTTAATTTCATGTTGTCTTAGAGCTACATTTTATGATTATATATTATATTTTCTTCACAGCAGATTCTAAAAAATATGCAACACTCTAATTAATTGGTTTAAAAAATCATTATACATAGATAACTTAGAACTTATCCATTCACAGAGGCCCAGGTCAATAATAGAAAAACCTGTATATTTTGCAAATTCTATATATTTTTAATATACAGAAATTATTTTATTTATTTTATCAAATTCTGTAAACTAATAGTTTAAGATATTAAAACACGGGGAAAGTAAAACTTTCCTAAACTATCTGAAACAAAAATATTCAAATTAATGTTGTCAGATTAAGTGTAAACTTTCTAGATTTAGATAAACCATTTCATAGGACATTATTCATAACTTTTATGTGTAAAAAACTAAAATTTGTTGCAGAAATGTATTTTCTGTTGTTAAGCATAAATCAATACAAACCAACTCTAAAAACAAAACATAGATACTATTGAACCTCTTTAATAAATTTAATAAAGTTAAAAGATACAAAAATAACATAAATAAAAAATGTATTACTAAAAAAAATTGATATCTTTTTTATATTGTAAATAAACATTATATATGACTATATGATATCATATAATAACACAATGAAATTGACTTACTATAGCAAGTGAAAAATACAAAACATTCATGATTATTTAAACATTCAGTTTTTGCAATATTTAGTATCAAAACTACATTTTCAATTTTATATTGCACTTGAGGAGCATTTTATGATTGTATATTTATTTTATTTCACAAATATTCTAAAAAAATTGTATAACATCCTGTGAAAATTAATTAAAGATTATCTTAAAACCTTAAAACTCAACATTTCCCTCTTTTAGACTAGCCAATATGTTTCTTAAACACATGTCTGAATATTGCTATCAAAATATATACACTTTTATATTTTAAAGAATTTTAAAAATGTATTTAATAAATAAATATGTTTAAACAAAATGTGATAATTATTTTATTATTACAGACAAATAAAGTTAAACGTTAAAACACCAAATAATTTTTGTCATTACTTACTAATATTTACAAATAATTTACAATATAAATAATTTAAACATTTTTTCATATAAAACCTTATATTATAACTTATAATATCAGTTACAGTATTTATAATATAAAAAATATATTATTAATTATATAACTTATAGAAAAAGTAAAACATTTCTGTATTTATAAATAATATGTAAAGTTTAGATATGGCAGTGTTACTTAGTAAAACCTTACCATATTTTGTTAAGTGACATTGAGATTTGCTTGAAAAAGAAAAATCAAAACGAAACACACTAACTTAGTGTATTTCATTTTTGTAACTTAGTGACTAAGCCATAACTGTAGGAGCACCAAGACATATAAACTAATTAGAAAAATTTTCAACATTTGTCTATAGCATAAAAAAAAAATATATATGCCTTTAGTTTGATAAAACATCAAACAAGTCAGTAAAAAAGTAAACATTGACATACTCTCAAACTTATTAATGGCTATGAAATTTAGAGCATTTAAGAAGTTTAAGAGTATGCCACATTTTTTTGAATTAAAACTGATATGTAAATAATTATTTTTTTGAAAAAATACTAAAAATGAACCAAATTAAGTTCCTGTTCACTCCAAATGCAAATGTATATTCAATCCAAATCAATCTGCGTTACTGTATATGTCATTTTAAAAGATTTTATCATATTTTCAAGCATAATTTTTGCTGCAATCTTTGCACTATATGGGACCCATCTTTTATCCAGTTCAAATCCCAGCCATAACTCAGTTCTAATAATCGAGTTACATCCCAGCTGGGACCCAGTTATCGTGGTTAACTGGGCAGTTTATCATTTTTATTATTAATTACTTTTATTTGCAAACAATACACAATATAAATTATTTAAATATTTTTCATATAAAACCTTATGCTACAAATTAAAATCTAAGTTATAATATTTATAATATAACTCAAATTATAAGTATTATCACTTTACAAAACATAATATTACTATGTTTTGTAAAGTTGATATATTACTATTAGTGATAATATTACTATTAGTAAGGTTTTACAAAGTGACATTAATAAAAATTTACTTATTATTTTTTGTAAGTCATTGTTTTATTTTTTAGTTATTAATTATTTTTAAATAGCGATATCTAATTTGTTATAGTGTTATATAACTTTTGTTTTTATTTTCTTTTTAACCATTTATTATATATGTTTTATTCTACCATGTATTATTATTACTTTTTTGTTTTTTTAAATTTAATTATATTTAATTTATGTTGTTGTTTTCTGCTTGTTGTTAATGTTGTTTTTTTGTTTTTATTGCCAAAAGAAGTTAATGTAATATTTTGTATGGCTTGTAATGTTTGTTTTAGCTTTTGTTTTGTTTTGATTTTCTCAGTGTTTTTCTGTTTATATTTTATTTATTTACTTTTTCATATTATTTGCAATATATTTTGGTTATTATATTATAAGAAAAATATATTTACTAAACCTTTATGATTTTTTTTAGAAGTGGTTATTTTTATGTCATCGTTAGTTGTTACATTTTGTCAGTTTATTACTGTTTGTAACTGTAACTTTGTATGTAAGAACGATTGCTGTATGGAAAATTATACCGATTAATTTAAATAATTTTAATTACTATATTAATAATACTATTGTTAAAATGTTATTATTATTATTATGATTGTTATTATTATTATTATGAATATTATTTTTATTATTAATACCATAACTATTTTAATCATTATCATTAGGTGTTTACGTAATACTAGTAGTTTGTAGTATTTGTAAACAACCTTGAAATGTAATACCAAATATTTCAGAAATATGTATGGATTGATTGATTGATATAAAAATTTAGATATTATTTGTTAATGCATAAGATTTAATTTATTGTATATCAATTATATTACTTATAAAATATGTAAAATCTTACACTTAAAGGCCCATGCGAGATTTTATTAAAAAAGCCTATATATGCGGAATTTTTTTTATTAATTATTACCATATGTGATGGATTTAAGGCCCATACCTATATATATATATATATATATATATATATATATATATATATATATATATATATATATATATATATATATATATATATATATATATATATATTAGGGTGGTCATAAAAATTTTTTTTCTTGTTACAGGCTTTAATCATTGCTAGAAAGTTGTTTTTTTTATGTAAAGTATTTACTTTTATGGATTGAACAATGTCTTCCACCCGCAACTATAATTACAAAAATTAGCAGGCTCTATTATTATTCAAAAAAGTTTTTCCAAATTATGTGATGTAGGTACTCAAATAAAGCAAAATTTTATAAAAATTTCAAAAATAATAATTTTTTCATATAAAAATTATTATTTTAGATTTTATTGCAAAATGACTATAGTTTTTTAACTTAAAGTGAAAAAGGTGGATTTTTACATGATTTTTATAAAACGATTATTATTTTCGAATTTTTTCATAAAATTTCACTTCTTTTGAGTACCAGGTTGACCTACTTTTGAAAAACTTTTTTTCTCCAAAATATTAGGGTACCGGTAATTTTCCCAATAAAGTTGCGCCCTTTAAATCTATCACAATCATTCTCATATTTGATAGTATCAATATTAATAACTATTAGCAATTTTTAAGAGCCTGTAACAAGAAAAAAAACTATTTTGACCCACCCTAATATATATATATATATATATATATATATATATATATATATATATATATATATATATATATATATATATATATATATATATAAAAACAAAAGGCCCAAATTTAGATAAAAAAAACTGAAAAGCCCATGCGAGAATCCCACATAGCCTCTGGCGCCACCACGCCCCTGCTTAATAAATGTATAATCTTAATTTTTTTCATAAGTTTCAAAGTATAAAAAGGATGTGTGATAAACAATTAAATACTTTATTATAAAGAAAGAAAGATCTCTCTAAAGGTAAATGATATATTTAAGATATTAACTGTTAACAGTTTAAATGATAAATAATAAAATTATAAAAAAATGTTGTCAAATGATTCTTCAAATGTTTATACAAATATACCTAATATACATATATATATATATATATATATATATATATATATATATATATATATATATATATATATATATATATATATATATATATATATATATATATATATATATATATATATATATATATATATATATATATATATATATATATATATATATATATATATATATATATATATATATATATATGTATATATATATAAATATATACATATATATACAGTAAAATTCCGTTAAGTTGGACTCTCAATGAACAGATAAACAGTATGCCTTTCTTTTTAAAAAGTATAAAAAGGATGTGTGATAAACAATTAAATACTTTATTATAAAGAAAGAGAGATCTTTCTAAAGGTAAATGATATCAGAAAGAGTAAAAAGAGAAGAAATATATGTGAAACAGCGGGATGTGAACCTGGGTCTCCGCGGCCAAATGTCTTAACTGAATGAGCTATACGTTCATTCAACTAAGTGAATAGTAATATTTATTTATTATATAATTAAGAAACTATATAAAACAGAATTTACAGAAAGAGATACGTATGCAAATAGGATTCTATATATCAGGAAAATGAATAGTAATGTGAACCTTTAGTTGCTTATAATTAATATCTGGACTCGAAAACTAGTTACTTTTAATGGAACACAATAGGCTGTAGGAGCCTCAGGGAAATTATATTCAGAAATGATTATATTAGACTCAGAGTTAGCTAGAAATTATTACAAAGTGTTTAGGACAGATGTCTAGTACAAAAAGCACAAGATTTAAAGCAAAATGATTTATATTATTTGAAAAAGTTGTTTTACGTACATTTTGTCATAATTTAAGTAGAACTTAGTAAAGCAAGGGAAACTTGTAGAATTAAGCACAATGAACTCAATCTTAAAAGAATAACTAACAGAAGAAAGGTTGTCACTATTATGAAGGTGACGAAAGATCTGTAATATAAAACATGGAGGTCAAAAAATGCTATCTTAACAGGCTTGGTCGGGAAGCGGGTGCGATCGCACTCGATATTTGACCACGGAAATTATATTTAGTTGCGAAAAACCGGCCAGATTTTTTAGGCGTTTTGAGAACATTTCAAAAACAAGCAAAAAAGTGCAATAAGATAAACTGGACCGATGAGAGACAGTTAAAGAAAGAAAAATAGTTTAAAAAAAGTGACATTTTTTGTATATAGTAATAACGTACTAATAATGATTGTTTAATAAAGAAGCAAATGTTCTTCAATTTATCAAAGATTATATATAATTTTTATTTATATACTTTTGACTTATTTCCAGTGCTGGAAATAAGAGGTGGAAGGGGGGGGGTGGAAGAGCTATAGTCCCGGGACACACAATGTTATGGGCCGAGAAATAGTCAAGAGGACCTATCGGTATTTTTAAGTCATTTTTACGCTGTCGCACATAAAAAAGGCCACCAAAATAATGCAGCCC